AATCCGTGAATTTATGGAAGAAAAATCATATTTTTATAAAATCTTTCAAAAATAAAAATTTAAGATTTGAAGGTCCATTTGACATCAGAATTGGATAATTTTTGTATGGTTGGACTCGTCTCGGAATGAGTGTCCGAATTTCGTAAGTTTTTCCGGGATTTGAGATGTGGGTCCCACTGCCGAATATTTTAATGAATTTCGGATTTTTATCCGAAAAATTTGTAAATTCATATGGAATTAATTCCTATGATTCGTATTGAGTATATCGAGTTGTTTGTGAATAGATTTGAAGATTTTGGAGATAAATTTAAAAGAAAAAGCTGTGGTCGAGTAATTGATTGGAATTTACAAATCGAGGTAAGTGTCGTGGTTAACCTTGACTTAAGGGAATAGAACCCTTAAATTATTTGTTATGTGAAATGCATGTGAACGACGTATATGGGAGGTAATGAGTGTCTATACGCTGTCAAATTAATTGTTTGCCTGCTTACTTGAAAAATCATAAATTGTTTAAATCATGAATTAATTATTATAATAATTGTTTCTCTCCTATTCTTTGTCAAATATTAATTCTTGAATTCCTGCATTAATTGTTACATGCTATTTGAATTATGTGCCTTAATTGTTATTTGACATTTAGCATATTAAATACTAAACCGCATATTTTCTCTCTGATTTCCATAATAATTTGCTATTTGCCTTTGTTTGTTTCATAATTAAATCATAATTATTGTATGTTTGTTGTCTTATAATTTTATATTAATTGTTGTATTTATTGGGAAAATTTCTTCTATAAGAATTGATAAATGAAAATATTGGAGGAGCGGGTTGCACGCCGCAACATAATTAATTATAATGAATATATTGGAGGATCGGGTTACACGCCGCAACAGACTTATTAAAAAGTCCATATTGGAGGATCGGGTTGCACGTCGCAACAAACTTATTTAAAAGTCGACATACATATTTATATATTGGGGGATCGGGTTGCACGCTGCAACAGACTTGATTAAAATGAATATATTGGAGGAGCGGGTTGCACGCCGCAATAGAACTGAATGTGAATATATTGTGAGAGCGGGTTGCACGCTGCAACAGAATTGAATGCGAATATATTGTGAGAGCGGGTTGCACGTTGCAACAGAATTGATAAAAATGATAATTGGTTATGACTGCTGAGTTGGCTTCAATTATTATAAATGAGTTACCTGATTTGTTTATATTATTGTTGTTATTACTAATATTGTGTACAGGTAGTGTAAGTGACCCGCCTTAGCCTCATCACTACTTCGTCGAGGTTAGGCTCTGCACTTACCAGTACATGGAGTCGGTTGTACTGATACTACACTCTACACTTTTTGTGCAGATTTCGGAGTTGGTCCCAGCGGCGTGCCATAGACTTGTTCGGATTTCAGCTACTCGGATGAGACTTGAGGTATAACTGCATGGCGTCCGCAGTTCTGAAGTCCTCGTCTATTTTACTTTAGCTGTGTGTTTATTTTCAGACAGCTTTATTTTATTCAGACCTTTATTTGTATTATTCTAGAAGCTCGTGCACTTGTGACACCAATTCTGGGATGGTATTTAGACACCGTTATTTTTATGAATTATTTCACTATATTTCAAACTTTACTTCCGCATTTGTTCTTTGATTATTAATAAATTTAAAAATTATTTTAAAAATAGATAATAATATTCTAACGTTGGCTTGCCTAGCAAGTGAAATGTTAGGTGCCATCACGGTCCGAAGGTGGGAATTTCGGGTCGTGACACCGACCATATTAATTGTTTATATTTTTTTAGCCATATACATAGATTATACATTGATTATACATTATTATACACATGTACTCCATAAATTTTACATATATTATACATTTATCGACTATTTTTAGTTTAAGTGGTAGGGTGGGTGTCTATACGAGGAACTCGGGAGCAAAGGCGGATACAAGAAGTTGTACCGATTGACCAAGGTGAGGAAGAGGAAGGCCTGTGACTTGGATCAGGTAAAGTGTATTAAAGACGAGGACGACAAAGTATTGATAGACGAGGCGCATATTAGACGCAGATGACAGACGTACTTTCATAGACTGTTGAACGAGGAGTGAGACAGAAGTATTGTGCTGGGTGAGTTGGAGCACTCCGAGAGTCGGTGGGATTTTGGGTACTGTAGGTGTATTAGGGTGGAGGAGGTGGAAGGGGCTATGCGCAAGATGAATAGGGATAGAGCGACGGGGCCAGACGAAATCCTAGTAGAATTTTGGAAGAACGTGGGTCGAGCAAGCTTGGAGTGTCTCACTGGGTGTTTAATGTCATTTTAAGACAAAAATTATGCCCGAGGAATGGAGGTGGAGTGCGATGGTTCCGTCGTACAAGAACAAGGGTGATATCCAAAATTGCAGCAATTATAAGGGTATAAAGTTGTTGAGCCATACGATGAAGATTTGGGAGAGGCTGGTGAAGGTCAGGATGAGGAGGAGCGTATCTATTTCCGAAAATTAGTTCGGATTCATGCAGAGGCGCTCGACTACGGAAGCTATTCATCTAGTAAGGAGATTAGTGAAGCAGTATCGGGAAAGAAAAAAGGACTTGCACATGGTGTTTATCGATCTTGAAAAAACGTACAATAAAGTGCCAAGGGAAGTTTTGTGGAGGTGTGTGGAGGTTAGTGGCATTCCTGTAGCATACACTAGGGTGATTAAGGATATGTACAATGGTGCTAAGCCTCAGATGGGGACGGTGGGAGGGGACTCAGAGCACTTTCCAGTTGTGACGGTGCTGCACCAGGGATCGACTCTTAGCCCGTTTTTATTTGCCTTGACGATGGACGTGCTGACGCGGCACACACAGGGTGAAGTGCCATGGTGCATGCTATTTGTCGATGATATAGTGTTGATCGACGAGACGTGAAGCGGGGTCAACACAAGGTTGGAGGTTTTGAGGCAGACCTTGGAGTTTAAAGGTTTAGGTTTTGAGGCAAACCTTGGAGTTTAAAGGTTTAAAGTTGAGCAGGAATAAGACAGAATATTTAGAGTGCAAATTTAGTGACGGGGCTCATGAGTCACACGTGGATGTGAAGCTTGATACTCAAGTTATCCCCAAGAAAGATAGTTTCATGTATCTCGGGTATATTATCCAGGGTAACGGAGAAATTGACGAGGATGTCGCACATCGTATTGGAGCGGGATGGATGAAATGAAGGCTTGCGTCCAGCGGCTTATGTGATAAGAATGTGCCGCCAAGACTTAAAAGTAAATTCTATATAGTGGTGGTTCGAACAACTATGCTTTATTGGTGGAGTGTTGGCCAATTAAGAACTCACATGTGCAGAAGATGAAAGTAGTAGAAATGAGGATGTTGAGATGGTGAGTTAGTATACCAGGAGAGATAAGACTAGGAATGAAGCTATTCGGGACAAAGTGGGAGTGGCCTCCGTGGAGGACAAGATGCAGGAGTCGAGGTTGAGATGGTTTGAGCATGTAAAGAGGAGAAGCATTGATGCTCCTGTCAGGAGGTGTGAGAGGCTGACCATGGCGGGTTTGAGAAGAGGCCGAGGTAGGCCAATAAAGTATTAGGGAGAGGTGATTAGACATGATATGGCGCGACTTCAGCTTACTGAGGACATAACCCTTGATAGGAAGGTATGGAGGTCGAGGATTACGGTAGAAGGGTAGTAGGTAGTTGTAAGTTTCTCCTTTTCCTACTAGTTTCTTTAGTAGCACTTAGGTTCGTGTATATGCCTAAGTAGATCATTACTTCGTCATGTGATTTAGTTCGCCTCTACTATCGTATTCCCTGGTGTTAGTGTTTAGTACTACTAATTCCCCTCCCCCCTTTATTTTTTTATTTTTATTTTTATTTTTATTTTTTATTTTTTATTATTATTATTTTCCCCCCTCGTCTTTTTCCTCTTCTCACTCTTTCTAAGCCGATGGTCTATTGGAAATAACCTCTCTACCTTCAGTAGGTAGGGGTAAGGTCTGCGTACGCACTACTCTCCCCAGACCTCACTTGTGAAAATATACTGGGTTTGTTGTTGGTGGATGGCTATTTGGGCTAATCCCAATTCGGAATTTTTACCTACGTATACTATATTATGAACTTATTTACCCTTTCTAAAGAGGTTATCACTTGATTAAATTAGCATATACAATTTACCATTTATATACAAAGTAGCTTAGAATTCATTTTTTTCCTTTAATTTTCTACTCCAATTTAACCCCATTTCAATCTCTTTAAGTTTCGGCTTTGTAATTCAATTTTAGATTCATAAGATTACTGTTTTTATAATTTCGAAACTTTGGGCATAAAAAATCTCAAACTCGATAAATGGAGTCCTTTGCTTGGTTCAGAATTTCGAAACAACATTGCTTTTTAAGCTTGATATATATATATATATATATAGAAAACTTCATCAATTCAGTGCGCTTGACGAAGTAATAGAGATGAATAGATCAAAATGTGAAGCAGATGAAAAGAAACATCACATTTAAATTAACTAGGCATATCCTAGATTCAACCCGTTAGGAAATTATTATTTATTTGGATTGAGTGTTATTTCAAATGATTTAGAATATTCTTTGGAGTTTATATCTCAATTTTGAGAGAATTTGGTGAAGATTCGAGGTGATTTTGGTTGAAATTTCAGATTGAATCTCGAAAAAGAAGACATAAGCAAATTATATATATTTTGTATGTCGGGTGTAGAAACAACATACAAAATATATCCAACTAACATAATTGTATATAAATTATATGTGAATTGTAGTTTTTGACCGGAATTCTATACAAAAAAAAATTATTTTTAAGTTATAGATAATTTGTAGATAAATTATAATTTTGACCGAATTTGTATATATTTTGTAAAAAAATATTAGTTACGTCCGTAAATAAGAAAACTTAGACAAAAACTGATAAATAAGTTTAAAATCTTGTATATATACGAAAAAGTACCAATTCTTAATCCACGGCCCTAAAACCAAGCCCACCCAAAATTAAAAATAAAAAAATAGCCGTTACAAAAGCCAGAAGCGTCTAAAGCTCACCGGTTCATCCTACCTTCCCAATCAGTTAAATTAAATCCAATTTTCAAAACTAATCCAACGCCCTAAAACCAAGCCCACCAAAAAAAAAAAAAAAAAAAAAAAAAAAAACTAGCCGTTACAAAAGCCAGATGCGTCTAAAGCTCACCGGTTCATCTTTTTTCTCCCTTTCCTGTGATCACTGAATGCTACAAGCAGAAAAAATACCCTAGCAAATCCTAAAAACCCTAACTCCGATCAACTTTTCAGCAACAATTACATTGCTCTTTTGATGGATTCAAACGGCAAATCCATTAGACTTACGCCTAAAAAATGCTCCAAAAATTCAGAGAATCTGAACCCCAATGTGGAACAACACAGTCCTTATTTGTCAAAATCTTCTAAATCACTATCAATGGCAAAATCGGCGAAGAAACCCCAAAATTCAGTATCCAGAAACCCTAACGCAAATCAATTGGCTTCGCCTTCTCCCAAAAACAAAATTCGTCAAAGGAAGTTTGTGATCGCAAAGAAGAAGAAGTATAATAGTGATATTGTGAACCCTTCAGTGGCTTGTTGTAAGTGTAATAAGGCTGGTGGTGGTGAGAAAAAGAAGTGCCTTTGTGTTGCTTATGAGAGCCTCAGGGCTTCTCAAGAAGAGTTTTTCAAGAATCGCTGTGGAAATGAACACGAAGAAAGTGAAATAGAGAAGTTGGATAATGTAAATGGGGCTGAAATTGGCAATGAAGAAGGAATGAGTAACGAGTCCTTGACTCAAAGCATTGAGACTGTGGAACTGGGTGATCGTTGTGTGGCTGACGAAATGGAGGAAAGGGCAAACGAGGATGTGGGTTCGGGTGAAAGGAGCGGTGGAACTATAAAGAGGAGGAGGGAGAGGTTGCTGGAAGAAGCAAGACAAAGTGTATCTGAATCGGGAAAAGTGATGCATTTAGTTAAGGCTTTTGAGAAGCTTCTTTCGATACCAAAAACAAAGGAGTGTGAAGGGGAAAAGGAAACAGAAGATTCTGGAAAGGGACAAAAAAGGGCATTGCCTGGCTTACAACCTTCGAAGATTCCTGCGACACAGATGTCTTCTTCTTTGTTTTGTCCATCAGATTTTTTCCTCACCTCTGAGAGTTTAGGCTTGGATTCACGTCGTGCCTCCTCATTGGATAGCAGCCACGGAAGGTTAGTTCTTGAAACATTAAGTTACTTGTCAACCTATTGCAACCCTCTTCCTTTAACTGAGCTTGTATTTAGTGGATTTATATAACTGATTCCTATTAGTTTAGGATTGAGATGTAACTTTTGCTTGTTGGTTGTGCATTTATTCCTCATTTGAGTGCTGGAAATAGATCATCTTTTTTTCTTTTCATAGCTTCAGTATTTCAAGCAGGACTTCAGGTGGTGGTCGAAGGAGCAGACACAATGTAAGGATATTCTTATTATCAATCATTATTAGATGGAGAGGAAATCATGTTGATCTCTATACTCTTATTTTCATTCTTAATGCTGCAGAGCGCTGAATCATCAGGCACATTTACTAGAAGAAACTGGAAGAGAAGGCAGCTCAAAGCGACCTCACAAAAGCCCTTCAAACTTAGAACTGAGGTTCGTGAGTTGTGTGTTTGCTTGATCCAATCTTGGTTAATTGATTGCTTCTTGTGCAACTATGACCAAATATTCAGTTGCAATATATTTGGTTGACATGCGCTGGCTGCTACCGCAAATAGTGATATACACAGATTGGACACTGAAAGATGGATTGAATCCCATTTTGCTAAAAGAAAATCAGAATGTTGGTCGTTAAATAGTGCACAATGGAAAAAAAAAATCTATTTAAGTGATAACAATAAGTTGAGATTAATTTTTAGTCATGTTAGTACGTTTACTTTAGGTCCAATTTTGGCTAGGTTTTTTTTGGTCTTGTTAGAGATTTATATGCTAGTAGAAAATGTTGTGAACTTTTAGTGTTAGAGAAACTAATTATTGAGTATAATATTGGACCGAGATGACTTAGTGGAGTGACATGGCTGTCGAGGATTCATAGAGCTGACACCCACTTGCTTGGGGTTGAGGCATAGTAGTTGTTGTTGAAATCTCTCTGTTGATATTTGTAATGGTCATTGTTCCCTTATCACAAATAGTGGGACCTATTCTTTTATCCACTAGTTTATTGTGTCCCTTCGGCACTGAGATGCATCAGTATCTGCTTTTTCAGTTTAGGATGTCATGTTGAATCCAATTAATCATTTACCAGTTTACTTAAGGAGTTGCTTAGATTGACTATTGCTGCAGGAAAGGGGAAAATGTAAGGAGGAAGAATTTTTAGAGAAGGTGCAACAAATGGCGGAGGAAGAGGAGAAACAGCGGATACCAGTTGCACAAGGCCTTCCATGGACAACAGATGAGCCAGAGGTAGTGTAAGCTTTTCACTATTGTCATTTCCAACCATTAAGGAATTTCAATGTGAATGAATTGATGTAAAACTTATCAAAATTAACTATGCCGGAAACTTTAAAAGGGAATGCATCTTGTTGATCTCATATTTTGGAGACTGGACTCGTTTGAACCAAAATCAAAGAGAAATTAAAGCAAAATGTTATTGAAGTTCATGTTATTACCTCTCTCACTATGCACAAATCTTTTGCACTTGGGATTATACTTAAGCCTGTTACGAAAAGAAAACTGAATTACTCCGTTTTCAACTTTTCAGTGTTTGCCAAAGCCTCCTGTAAAAGAGAGCACAAGGCCAGTTGATCTGGTGCTGCACAGTGATATTAGGGCAGTTGAACGTGCTGAGTTTGACCATCAGGTAAACTTTGTTTATTCTTTATTGACTTGGTCATGCATGTTTAAATTAATTTCTCTCAGTGAAAGGGCAGCTTTAATTTCTTATAAAATGCTGCCATGAGTATCTGAATTTTTTTACTCATCGAGAATATTTCATATGAAACATGTAAATGTTATGTATGTCCTTGTAAAGAGATTCTCAAAGCAAGTGCTCCAATAAGAGGAGTGAGGACCCCAGCAAATTTCTTCAAGTGAAAGTGCTAGTTTTAAAATCTTGTTCGAAGTTGTGTTTCACTAGGAAAGCATGTGAAATTCTTGGAGTTTTTGGCCAATATTGTCCCTTATCTTTGAGGGTAGGTCTATTTTGGTTCCTCAAATATAGCCATGATAAGTCTATTTTGGTCTCTCAAATATAGTCCTGAGCATATTTTGTCCCTTTAGTATGCTAAAGTCGAGCACCTTTAGTCTCACTCACACAATGTGTTCAGAAACTAACGGTGTTACCCAACTCTGATTCATGAAGCAAATCTTCTGCTCTGAAGCAAAACGTTTACTCTCCTTTTATTGGATAACGCAAATTATCGTTTTAATTCCTCATAAATATCCCCTTTTGTATATTTTTTGTATATATATATATATATATATATATATATATATATATATATACATTTTGTATGTTAATATACAAAAATTATACAAATTTTATACTTTTTCCGCTACCAGATGTAAATAGTTTCTGGCACGGGTTAAAAGTGATAATACAACCTGGTTATTCGTTTGCTTTAATAATATGCCTAGAAGTGATCCTGGCAGCTCTTTTTTTTTTTAAAAATTTAACTTTTCTTTTTGGAAAAATCAACCTAAATTCTTAAATGTATATATATGCAAAAAAATATACAAATTTTATAAATTTTTTCGGCTATTATTTTTACAACGGCTATACAGTGTCATTTTCTCATTGAAAATTGGCACAAAAAGGGATATTTTCAAGGTCAAAATTTTAGAAGACATTATCTAAAAATGAGGAATTAAAGTGATAATTTACGTTATCCAATAAAAGGAGAGGAAACATTTTGCTTCAGAGCAGAAGATTTGCTTCATAAATCAGAGTGGGTAACACCGTTAGTTTTTGAACATATTGTGTCAGTGAGACTAAAGGCACTTTAGCATACTTAAGGGACTAAATATGCTCAGGGTTATATTTGAGGGACCAAAATAGACCTACCATAAGGGACCTGCCATAAGGGACAATATTGGTAAAAAACTCAAATGCTTGCATGACTCTTTCATTACTCTTTTAGAGGCACAGTACCTTATGTTCGTGGTTTCTCCATGGTTCAGGTGGCAGAAAAATTGAGCCTTTTTGAACAATACAAGATGGAAAGAGAGAGACAACAGAGGGTAAGCCAAGCAAATATTCTGGGATGAAATTACGTATATGTATTTTTGCACTTACATTCTTGTTATCTTGTGTTTGTTTGATTACTTTCTCTAGATGGCCGAGGAAGAAGAAATTAGGAGGCTGAGAAAGGAACTTGTTCCAAAAGCTCAACCAATGCCCTACTTTGACAGACCTTTCATTCCTACAAGGTAATCAGTTTCCAACTTTAACTTTATGTATGTACCTTACAAAATGTTGCTTCTTCTAATAAGAATATACAAGCTTTCGTTAAGCATTACTTCTAAATAGGAAATTTGGTGGTCTACGTTAGGTCAATGCAATTATCATTGTTATTCCACTGCTTATATAGCGGAGTTAGTTGGAGGGGATTTCATTAGATCCAAGTTAGTTTTCCCCTTTCCATTTGAGCCATTATAATTTTACTGTTTGTGGAATTGACCCGTGGAAAACAAACACATTCTGTTCATAAAGGTGTGAGACAATGTTTTCTGTTCACTCCTTTGATGATTAGTCAATACTGAATTATAAATTCATTGGGTGTTGAATTTCACAACTAGATGTTGACTATGTTTTAATGTTATTTGCAGAAAATGGAGGAGTAAACCTCTGGGAACAACTCAGTGAGACTATAAAGGCCAAGATTGGGACAGTTACATAATAAAAGTAGCTGGGGTAAGGGGAGCTCTGGGAAGAGCTCATGGTCACATAGAACTTTGAGAGGCAGTGGTCTTGGTCCTAGTATGGGCCTTTCAAAGATCTAAAAAGGAAATATGAGATGAAGCAAAACTTGTATATATTGTTTTTTACGCTCGAAATTTTTTAGCTGATTGAAGAGGGTGAACTCCGTCTTGGCAGGTATAAGGGGAAAGAAGCTGCTTATTGTAGCAGCAAGTTAGTGATCTTAACGCATTCCCCAGTAAATTTTGCTAGTGTTATCTACAAGTCCATCCATTTCAAAAATTGTTCCATATGTAGCTTGCCAAAACTTGTTTACCTTTCTTGTATTGTACTGCCAAGTTTCTGCCCAAAACTGGTTTGAGCTTTTGGTGTAAAGAAATTCTAGCCTGTGTATGCTTTAGCATTATTTCCTAGCATTGAGTCAACTCACTGAAAAGGGGATGTGATAGCTAAGAGTTGGGCAGCAAACTAATCAAAAGGGGGGATGTGCCTTGCAAAAGCATTTGAGACCTGGTATGCATTGAAGAAAGCCATAAGGAAAGAATTTGCACCTAGTCACTCATCCCAAAGACTTCAACAATCATGCCCAACCTACCTAAGGAGTTCGTAAGCATATACTCTTCGTGGAGGAATAAAGGGAGAGCAAGTTGATAACCTTAAAGTGAAAAAAGAGAGGTAATGTTTAAAAATGAAAATGAATTAGTAAGAGGTAGCGGAGGCCGATTCTAAGTTACTAACATCCTGCATTGTTGGTGAGGCAGTTACACCACGGAGAATGGCACAACAGTAGAGGAAATCAAGAAAATTGTTGATAATAGAGGAGTGGTTGTTAAAAACTGTTATAGAGAGGCGAACAAGGTAGCAGACAAGTTAGCAACACTAAGTCACAGACATCGTCAACACATTTTCTTTACAAACTTAGAAGGACTACCAAATCAGGTTAGAGGTCTAATTCAGCTAGACAGATGGGAGTTGGCTTCATTCAGGATCAAGCAACTTAAGGCAGCAGCGATACAGTTCGAGCCACCATGAGTACAATCTATGGCTAGTTTGTCTGTTCTTTTTATGGCGTTGTTAATTCTCGCAGCTCTGAACAGGGATTGGTATGCCAATCTCCAAATTACAGTGAGGATAGCATTATAGGGTAAAATTGGTTTATATTAAATGCTCGAATGATGGCGTGATACGTGGAACCAGAGACAGACGAAAGATAAGTCGATTGAAAATCAAGACCGAGGACAACAACTTCGGTTGGTACCGGGAGGATCCAAGAGAACGCGGCCAACGAAAACAAAATAATGTTTGCCACCAAATGACATTTAATGAAGAATATTCCTCAGTATTAAATATGCAGCCGTTGCAGAGAATTTTGGCATTCATTGTCTGACATTACATATTCATTAATGGCCCCCTTTATTATTGACATTTAAGATGGGCTTGATACTAGGATCTTTCCCTAGGTATAGCTATAATTAGAGACTTCAGCAACCATTGTAACACACAAAATCTCTGGCAAAACTTATGCTACACATTATTCTTAAGCTAAATAATATAGCTTTATTTTCTGTCTAATATTATTCTTATTGCTGTTTTCGGAAGCCTTGCTCCTGGAATTACGCTGCTTGCTATTTCTTTCGATTTCAACGCTAAGTTTTATTTTTTATTTAATTTATTTATCATTTTGGGATCAAATCAGTTCGTTTGTCTATAAACTATGCAACAAATTCAACTGTACCGTTTTACGGGTAAGCAGTTTGGCGCCCACAGTGGGGCTTAGACAACTGCGTAATTGAGTTGATCCTTGCATCTATTACTAACTTGTTTGATTCTTTGTTTCATAGCAAAAACCGGGGAAAAAAAATGGCAGCTAACGATGTCAACATCACACACAACGTTGAGGCACAAGAAAATCTACCTCAACATGAGGATTCGATCAGTGACACCTACAACGAGGGGGGCGTAGCAATTCTGGTCCTTCGCGGGCGATATCCCCGACATGTACGGGAGACAACTCCTAATGACGCTGAGGACGAGCACGTTGCGAAAACAGTAAGGATCTTGAGAGAGCAATAAAAGGCCATCATGGGCCATCTTTCAAGGCAAGACCAGGCCATGGCGGAACTAAAGCGGGCATTGTCAGGTACTTCCAACAATGCGAATGGAAGAGGCCCTGTTCCTCCCGGCGCTCCCCCAAAACAAACAACTCAAAGAGTTGATAACAATACCCCGAGAGATGAGGTTGGCTTCGACGGAGCTGGGGGGATCGACAACGGATCCGGTAACAACAACGACAACGATCCCTTCAAAATTGAACTCATGAGATTCATGAGGGAAATAAACGAGCGGATGGATCAGAATGCGAAAGAGTTCCATGCTCGAATAGACCAAATTCCCGGCGCACCACCAATGTTGAAGGGCCCAGACTCTAAGAAGTACATCTAATTGCCGTTCAAACCAAGCGCATCACCAGAATTAATTCCGAAACGGTTCAAAATGCCTGACATACCGAAGTATGATGGGACTTCAAACCCTCAGGAGCACATCACAACTTATACAACGGCGGAGAAAGGAAACGACTTGGCCCAACATGAGATTGAGTTGGTCATGCTGAAGAAATTGGAGAAACCCTCATGAAGGGGGCCTTGACATGGTATTCACTCCTACCCGAACACTCAATAGATTCCTTTGAGATGCTCGCAGAATCTTTCATCAAGGACCATGCCGTGGCCAGGAAGGTCCATGCCCGGAAGGCGGACATATTCAGAATTTTGCAAGAAGAGTCCGAATTGCTGCGTAAGTTCGTAATCAGTTTCTAAAAAGAAGGGATGATGTTACCGGTCGTGCTAGATGAATGGACAGCTGAGGCATTTATTAGGGATTAAACCCGAGGAGCTCTGACGCCTCCCCAAAGCCGAAAGAAAGCATGCCCGTGTTCCAAGCAACTACTTGGGCGGATGCCCATAATCGTTATGAATCAAAGATAAGGGTAGAAGATGATCAACTCGGGTTTCCGGCATCAACAAAGGGTCGGGATCGAGAAAAGAACATGAATAAATCAAAAGATGATTTTGATGCAGATCAGCGATCTTCTAAGGGTCAATTCTTGCCCAATGATAGGGGCGAAAGATGCGACAACAAAGGGTTCTGGTCAGCGGATATGTTCACCCCCGATAGAAGAACTGACTGCGGCCGAAACAACAGGTCGTTGTAGGACAAAAAGGCATTGGGTTCCCGGGATTCCACTTATCCCATGCTGTCAGAGTATAATTTCAATGTTAGCATAGTGGGGCTGGTATCGACAATGAAAAACATCATGGAAGCACGGTTCCGGAGGCCGATGAGATCCGATCCCAGCCAGAGGGATCTTAATTTATGGTGCGAATTTCATGGGACTCATGACCACCGAGCTGGGGACTGCCGACATCTACGCGATGAGGTTGCAACGCTGCTGAAGAACAACCATCTCAGGGAATTCTTAAGCGATCGAACTAAGAACAATTACGGCCGCAACCGAGACAACGCAGAACCCTCGAAGATAGGGGAAGACCTTCATCGACTAACTATCAACATGATTTTCGGGGGGAACGAGATCAACGGTCTGACTTTCTCGGCAACCAAGAAGGCAAAGTTATCAGTGACTTATAGCAAGAGACTCCGGGAAGTCACCGAAGACGACATCACCTTCACGGAAGAAGACGCTGATGGACTTCTTCTGCCGCACAACGATGCCCTGGTAATTTCTCTTAATGTTCTAGATTTCAAGATTAAACATGTTTTGGTTGACCCAGGATGTTCAGCCAACATCATTCAATGGAAGTTACTGGAACAAGCCAAACTTACCGGAAGCATCATTCCGGCAACAAAGCTCCTCGTCGGGTTCAACTTAGCGAGTGTGATAACCCAGGGGAGATCTTGATGCTCACGGATGCCGAAGGTGTTACGAAGACCAACTTATTTGAAGCGGTGGATGGCTACATGGGCTATAACATAATTCTCGACAGACCGTGGCTATATGAGATGAAGGCCGTACCATCGACAAATCACCAACTTCTGAAATTCCCAACTCCAGAGGGAATTAAACAAATAAGAGGAGATTAACATGCAACAAGGGAAATAAACGCGATATCGGTTTCCAACAGTAAAGGGAAGGAACTCAACACATAGCAATTACAGGAACCGACACCTGCTCCCGAATCGAGCGAAGATGACAAAGGGGATGAGTCGTCGAAATCCCACCAAGTACCAAGATATTTTCAGGTACCGGAAGAAACAGACGGGATCAAGTCCACGGCAGAAGAACTCGAACAAGTGGCTTTGTTCGAAAAATTCCTGGAGAGAAAATTTCACTTGGGGACACGACTCAACCCCGAGCTCAGGTCAGGATTTGATTTCCTTAAAACTAACGTTGATTTTTTTGCATGGTCACATGCAGATATGACAGGTATCCCGCTAGAAGTGGCCGTGCACAAGCCACGCCTGGACCCAAGCATCCCACCTGTAAGGAAGAAGAAGCGCCTCAATAGCCGATGTCAGAAACAAGTTTGTTAAAGAGGAGGTAACTCGGTTACTTGACATCAGTTCAATCCGGGAGGTAAAGTATCCCGACTGGCTAACTAATGTAGTTGTAGTTCCGAAAAAGAATAATAAATTTTGAATGTGTATAGATTATAAGGACTTGAATAAGGCATGCCCGAAAGACTCTTTCCCACTGCCTAACATCGATCAAATGATTGACGCCATGACCGGACACGAGTTAATGAGTTTTCTCGATGCCTATTCCGGGTACAATCAAATTAAGATGAACCGGAGGATCAGGAAAAAACTTCATTCATAACGAACTTTGGCACATATTGTTACAATGTGATACCCTTCGGGTTTAAAAACACCGAAGCCACTTATCAGAGGTTCATGAACAAGATATTAGAAAAATAAATAGGTAAAACAATGGAAGTATATATAAATGATATGCTTGTCAAGTCTTTGAATGTAGGTGACCATTTAAAACACCTCGAGGAAACCTTCGATATCCTAAGGAAGCACAACATGAAGCTCAACCCCGAATAATGCGCGTTCGGAGTTAGCTCCGATAAATTCTTGGGTTTCTTGGTGTCACAAAGAAGGATCGATGTAAATCTCGATAAGATCAAAGCCATCGAGGACATCCCAGACCAGTTGTCAAGTGTGAAGGAAGTCCAGAGACTAACCGAAAGTCTAGAGGCCAACTTCTTCCACCGGCGGGTCTCTGGCGTAGTGATGTCCAGAATCTTCTGAACCCATCGGTCTAGGCCTTCAACCCCTTGGTGGTGTCCACCGAGTAGCTCAAATAATCAAAGAAAAAGGGCTAGCAATGACATGAAACAACTTTTATTCGGAGAAAGAGATTGACTTTGAACTTACGTGAATGATTTCAGGATTCGGGGAAAGATGGAGTTGTGGCAGGGATGATATCCCCAGTAGCAAGGATGATGAACCTCTCCATCCATCCACGGTCATTGTTATCATCCATGGCGGTCTCCCTCATTTCCAAGCACATCCGTTGCATACTAGCCACCATTCGCCACACAGAGGGGCCTACTTCTGCCAAGCAGACTTGGTACCGGTGGCTGAATTCTAAGGTCACGGGGTCAAGTCCCTTGCTCAACGAAAATGGTCCCAAAATGAAGGGATACGTGTAAATGTACGTGAAACCCTTCTTAGTGAAGGTTACCTGCTCCACCAGGTCGGGAGCAATAATATTTAGGGCATAACAGTTACAGTCCTCCTTCATAGCAGAAATACTAAAAGGGTGAATGGAAGAAGGATATTTACCAACAGCCCAAGTTCGAGAGAAAACTAGAGTTCTTGAAAATTTAGTAGGGAAAGCCATAATAATAAGGTGATGATAGAGCTTTTTGAAAAAGATCGGAGAGAGGTGAAAGCAGAAGGAAGCTAAGTGCAAAGAGGTTAAGAAAGCTTATGAAGTTGTTAGAAGTGAAAGAAGAAGAATGAGGCGTATAAGTAAAGGTATAGTCGGCTAAAATCGTGGTCATGATTATC